TATTTATAATATATAAAAATATATATTTATGTAATAGAAAATATTATATAATGGTGTCTGCACTATATTTTAATTTGGGAATTAAATACACACACACACACACACACACACACATTAAATGTCACGGCAATTCCAAAGAAGAGACGACTTCCAGATTTAGAACAGTGGGGGAGGGAGAGGTAGTTTATAGATGACCTCATGTTCCTTGAGGAAGAGGAGAACTCAGAAATGAAAAAACTGGTAAAAGGATATTCAGTAGCAGATACGACACCTTAAACAAAAACAGAGAGGCTAGAAAACAAACCGAACACATTCACTTTTTCAAAAACGCGAAAATAAAACAACACACAAACCATGAGGAAGCTACAATGTACTGTGCATTGGGAACAGAATAGTGAAAAAAAACCAGCACCGTTCTCGTAGTACTGACAGTCCAGGAACGGGCTACAAACTGGGAATTCGGGGTTTGAACCTGGGTACATGGAAAGACCGAGGGAAAATTAAAGTTGGAAAGGGAGGTTGGCGTCCTTTATGGAATATCCTGCATGCCACACTCACCCTAGGCCTATCCTGCGTAAGATTGGAATTAATTTCTCAGAGTCCATTTCTAACTATCGTAAAGCCTCTGCAACCAAGTGAATAGATAGACTCCTGAAAGACTTTTTCATTCAGATTCAGTTTATTTAGTCTCGTTCCATGCAAAAGCAAATTATCTGTATATTAAGTACCAACGCTGGTTCCAATTCTACATCTTAACAAGATTCTTCCATCCCTAACACTAGCAGAAATCCACTCAAAGATTAGTCTTAAATCGGAAGTAATACAAGTGGCCAAAATACTAGTCAGTCCCTATTTTTAAAATATTTTTTAATTACCAAATTGAAAGTATTTCTGAATTTTAAATTATTTTACTTAGTAGAAGAGTAACACGATGGTTTTCTCTAGCAATCAATGTCTCCTACTGTCATTACTGAAGTAAAAGTTAATTATTCTCTGTGACTCTTTGGCCTGAATACAAGGGTCCAAGTAAATATAAACATTTATAAAGTGAAATGTAAATATTTCAGAAGTCAGAATAAGATCCATCAAAGGATTCTTAATAAGAAAATTCTGGCCAAAGACTGGGGGCAAGAGGTAGTGATTGATAATTTCTACTGGGACAAATTTTGCAACCTACTTTTTAAGATGTTCTCTCTGCCACCATATTTAGTAAACCACAAAACATCATACACTTGTTTTTATCCCTTGAAAAGAATATAGTCGCTTTTTGTGGATGGAAATGCATTTAAAAGAACTAAATGGACACTGAAATGTGGGAATAAAGTATCTGCCTATTTTCTAAAACCACAAATGTCTGACACTTTGGGAGAAAAGTTTTGCTTATTTGTATTCTGTTTTGATGGTTGCTCTTCTGGAAGGATGGAGGGTAGGCAAAGGGCCACCCTTCTGACTGAAAACTTTAAGTGGCAGCTTTGTGCCAAAAGTTCATTTGCCATAGTAATCCTTATTGGAAAAAATACAGTACTGATCCAGTATTAAATTAATGGTGTTGCTAAATAATATTTTCTTGTTAATTTCAGCAGTTATTCTGGTTAAAAATCAAGAAAAACTGTGATTTAAAATTCACAAAGCATTGAGTGGATTAATTTATGCATTATTTACTAGGCACTACAATGTTGATACAAGTTCAAACACAATACCCAACACAAATACAATAAAAAAACATAATCATGAAAGTAGAATGTCTAAATACTAACATTCTAAATAATGAACACATCAAATTAAGTGTTACTACAATGAAGCCATATAACGCGATTTCAATGAATAAGCTACTTGATCAGTTAGTTATAAAATGCATAGAAATCTGATTTTGAAAATAATAAACATTGTGTATATTCCTTTCAAAGGAAAGTAAACAAGACAAGTTTATCATAATGCCAACATTAAAGATAGGTTACTTTTCACCATCTGTCTTGCCCATTATGGATAACAGTTTCATACCTGTTCTTCCAATAATTCCTGCCACAATATATTGATTTCTTGTAACCTATTCCAACGTTCCTCAGTCCAACGGCACACTGCTGTCCAGCGTTCACCAAGTTTCTAGTAAAGGAAGAAACCATCCTTTGTCAACAGAAGCTTAAAAGATAGTTACAATAATCCTTAAAGAAATTCATGACATCCATTGCTCTTTACTACAGAGTAGCAATTTATGAAAAATATTTTTAATAAAAATTGCTTTAAAATAATACAGATGAATCCTATAAATTTATAGATGAGAAAAACTAATTTCCACAGAATTTAACTGTTTCATATTACATAGCTAGGAAGTTGATCTTTAACTTTTGACTCTAAATTCCTGCTCTTTCCGTATCAGTGGTTTTTATATGACAATTTGACATTTTTACACATATCTTCAGAACACAGCATACATATCTACTTTTTTGTGCTTCACATTTTTCAGGCTATAATTATCTTTTCAAAAAATTCATTGCATCAATTAGCCACCTTTTATATGCCAACAAAATTTTCATATGGAATACTAAAATTATGAAAAAAAAATTAACCTTATAAAAACTGTTTTGAGTTTCTGTAGATTAAAAAAAAAGGTTAATTGATTTGTTCTGTTTATATTACACAAAAATCAGGAACAGAATCTTAGGAGTATTAGCAATGCTAAATGAATAAATTTGGTTGTTTAAAAATCATTATTCATGATGACTTTCCCAACAAATTATTTTATTACCATTTTATAAATAATGATTAACAAATGTTACATTTAATTTCCACATTACTTACATGTGCAAGGAATTATTTAATTCATATTATACGATTTCAATATTTAATACCAGAGTAAGCTTTGTAGAATGTGAAGGGTAGAGAAGTTAGAGCCAAAAGACAGGACTCCAGTCTTGGCATGAAAATTCATTGCCTACTTAACTCTCAGTGGCATCACATGACCTTTCCGAATCTCAGTCCCCTCACTATTAAATAGGCAAGACATGAATGCCTACCTCTCAGGTTACTGTAATAACTAAGCACTACTCCACCAAAAAGTCTCAGAACCACTGGCCAACTTTAAATGTTATAAAAGAAAAAGAATTTCAAATGATAAGATTATAGTCTAAAAGTGACTGAAAATCATTTGGCGACATCATATCCAGTAATCCAAATACTGTTCAAACAAAATACCAATAAATCTTATTAAAGACTTGTAAAGATACACTATAGCCTTTGTGCAAAAAGCAGCTATTTGTTGGGGTTCCCAAAACTGTTGTTGAAATTCACCCACTGATCTACCAAAGAGGCAGGGATATTTAACCCTACATAGCTGAAATTCTCAAACTTCGATATGCACATAAGTGCAGATCCACTGGCCCCACTCCCAGGGATTCAAGTTTGTGTGGAGTCCAGTTATCTATATTTTAACAAAGTCCTCAAGCTGTTTCCATTTTGCACGAGGAAGCTGGGGACCACCAGCAGCCCTGCCCATCTACCCTCCACCCCCAAGGCAGCAGGAAAGGAAAGATACCAAGGTATTCCTGTAAACCCACAAGCTGGGGGACCCCAACTAGGAAGTCCAGACTAAAGATTAGAGTACTCCTCTAAATGAACAGCGAGACAGGACCTGAACAACAGGGGTGCCAAATCAGGGTTTCAGACCACAGGGTCCTTGCAAGTAGCCCATCTCCCGGGTCCATACCTGTAACTGATCTTCGAGAAGAGCAGCGGTGCTCTCACCACTGTTTTCATCAACAATCACCACCATGTGCGTTAGTGAATTTACCTTCACCTGTTCAGCCTCAAGATCATTTTGCAAACACTAGGAAAAAAATGAAGATAACACCGTTATTTCTACTCTTTTCACATTTACCTATTTAAATTCCACTCAGCTGTCAATAGTAATTAAGGACACTTAATGAGGCATCGTGTTTAAATTTCCCAACATTACCCTAAGTGTTCTACTAATGAAACAAGCCCCTTATACGTTTTTACATTTCATTATGAACCAAAGCAGGTTGAAAATATCATCACCCTTATTTACAAGTGCTGGCAAAAAAAAAAAAAAAAAAAGTGGAATAGATGGCTTGAGTGAATATAATAGAAATTAAGATAAAAACATAGACTTTGTAAGACAAAAAAAATATACAGAGTCAGATCATTTTAGTGAAGCATAACGTAAGGTGAGAGGTAAGTGGGATGGTATTTGAAAGTCAGAAGCCATTCAGATTAGCTGCCCAGGAAAGCAATGCAGGATATACGGACACCTCCCGTTCTCCCCTCTTCCATGGGAAGAGCATGATAGGCCATAAGATTTTTGTATATAGATAATTTATTTAAATGCTACCAACAGTGTTGTTAAATGCCTCTTGAGCTGTGTTTAATGTATCCCTAAGATTTTATTTATCAGTTATCTAGATATTCCACTGAAAAATAAAATTCTTCAAACAATTTGCAGAGAGGCTATTTTACTCTTCCTTTCCTTGACTATGAAAAGTTATCTTCTAAATTTGTGGCCAAATTATATTGTCTACCAAATTTCGATTCCTCGTCTAGTGCCTGATACTCTCCTCTATCACAGAAGAAACACAGCTTTCATTAAGGTTAGGTACAGATAAATCTGAGGGTTTGCCTCTTTCCCCACACCCTGCATTAATGCCAATACACTAGGGTCCTTAGCCACTTATGGGTCCAAAACAAAAACCCATGAGAGCCTTATGAACACTAAGTACTTTCATAAGAAAACTACACGTACTTATGTAAAATTTCACCTGCACTATCACACAGGGCTTAGAAAAGCCACACCCCCAGGAACTCCACCCTATCAGACACCTAAGAAAAGAGAACACTGAAGAAGTGTCCCCTCTCTGCATGAATGACAGAAGCCATCAGCCCCTGAGAAGGCTGAGTGCTGCCTTTTCATATTTGATAAGGTATACAAGAAATATGAGCCAGATTTACTTTATGATCTTCTAGCAGCTTTTGTAAGGATTTTAAATCGTCATCCAGGGGGCAAGTTTCCATCTTTTGGATGCGTTCCTCTGTGAGCGTTAACCAGGCGGAGAGCTGCTCCAACTGTCTCTTTTGCAGTTCCATCAACACATCGTGCAGCCTGTCCGGGGATAAACACACGTCAGCCCCACTGCTTTTTCCCTTTGCAAAGGCAAACCCATGCTCCAGGCACCAAAGAAATGGGGCAAGGGAATGCAGTCTTGTCTAACCATTCAAAGTACCATTCAGTCTTTGAATATAGAAACAAGCAAAAAAAAAAAAAAAAAAACTTTTACTTTCTTCCTAAATGGAGTCAATTAAATGGAGTCAAAGGATGCAAATCACAGCCCCCTCTATTCATATCCAAATCATTGTTTCTTCAATCCGGAATTCCTGCTTATTAAATAGGTGGAAATTGCAATGGAATGCAGCTTGCTCCTTAATACACAATACATGAAATAAAATGAACCATGGGGAAAAAAAAAACTGCTCTAAAAAAAATGTTACAAAATGGAATTCTAGATAAATACTACATAGTCCTGTCTTCAGATAGAGTTCATGGTCAGCCAATTTTAATACTGTGAAGAGATAACTGTCCATAAGAAATGTCTTCTCCTTTTTTGCTAATTTCTGTCTTCCAACCTTTACCTTCTCATTCGGTTAACGTATCAAAGAGGAAACAGATCACACAAAATTCCAACAATATTACAAAAAGAAAAGTGCAAATTTTACAAGGCAAGTTCTGAAATTATCTTGTCTTCACAGACATGCAGGCTTTAACTGAGCTAAACTGGGCAACACAGTCGATGGAATAAAGGGTTAATTTCTTTGCTACCACTCACCGGGACTGTCTGTCCATACTATCCACCCTAAGTGCCTCCCATCTAGCATTTAGCAGGGTCATTTGTTCCTGAATCTCAAACTCCTCTTCATCTGACAGAGTTCCTTGTGTTATCAGCTGGTTTCCTGCCTGTAGGACACTCCCCACACTGCTCTGGTGTGCAGTCAGCTCCATCATAAAAGCCTAGAAAGGTACATCATTTTGATTTGTGAGCTGCTCATTGAAGAAAAAAGAAAATCTTATTAAATTGTTAATGCCTAACATCAGTGCTGCAGAAAAAAGTAGCCATGTAGAGTATAAATAAAGTAGACTTTGATCCAATTGCTTAAGCGCTGAATATAGGAACTAAGCAGCTGGCCTAAGTAAAAAGGGGAACAGATCAAAGAGGGCAATGTTACATCTGATAGTAACAGCTATTTTTAAATAAATGCTGATTATGCTACTGATTGTGAACATGGAATTATGAGAAAATAGAGTAAATAAAACACCATGCTCACCCAAGAGGAACTGCTTAAGGAATATTACCATTTCTATTATTTTCAAATCAAAATAGCAAATAAAACCTGTCAATTAATATAGCAACACACCAAAAAAAAAAAAAACTACTTAATCAAAGGAAATCTCGATATAATCAAATCATTACACTAGGAAATATATATATTCTCAAAACAATAGGAAATTTTCATTATATAAAATTACATAGGAACACCGGATATAACATTTGCTTAATTATCCAATAAATGAAAATAGTCACTTTCTAGGGAGTACTCAAAACCTAAAGATCTGGTGTATTGATTAGCCATGCTGTGTTTTAATTATAACAATATAACCATAACTTCAGAAACAAGCAATACCACCCATTAATTTTTGTCAGTGGCTCCACAGAATACACAAGTCATGATAAGATCAAAATCTGCTATCTAATTCCACTGCACAGTTAATGACCCACACCAATTTTATAACAAAGTCCTATTTAAATATCACAAGTCCTAAAATATGCCATGACCTTTCTGCGGAGAAGTGAATAAACAACACACATCGGGGCAGAGCCCATGATTAAGCCACCATGACAGCATGGTGGATGTCGCCTGCTCATCAGCTACACATTATTTACTTCATGGGTAGCAAACTGGTCTTTGACTTCTTCCACATCATCAGCAATGTCCTCCTGCTCCTGGAAAGTGTCCTCGGCGGAAAGCAACCAGGTCAGCACTTCCTCCAGCGCTATCTGGTAGCTGTCCAGATCCATGTCAACCTCGGCAACAGTGCTGGGGGTTTCTGCTCCAGGGCTCTCATGCTCCTCCTCCAGCACTGAGCTCTAGAAAAACAAACCCAAGAAAACACCCACGAGCATCGTGAAAACAAGACAGTGCTCAACAAAGACACACTGTATCGAGAACCTTAAGGTTCCACCATGGCTTAGGCATTCATCCACTTCTCAGGAGCTGGGTGTGGCGCAATGCCACGAACTAGGCAGGAGGCACTTATTAAGTGTGCTAGGAAGGCAAAGAGTCCAAAAGTGGAATGCACTCATGGATTCTGTACTCATGCAAATTCTAATATAGTTGGAGAGAGATAAATAACCCACATGAATCACTTCTGAACAAAAATAAAATGGCTATTAGCAAAGTTATAAATTCCATGGATCCAACAAGGGATGCTATTTGAGTTCACTAAGGGCTAAAACAGGAAAGTTTTATAGCAAATCTGGAACACAGTGGGCCTTGAAGGATGTATATAATTTAAAGAAAAACAGACAGAGATTGGAACTCTGCTTTGACCCCCAGTTTTAATAAATTGCATTTTGCATTGCATTTTCGACACTGAAACACAGCCACACATCCAGGCTGGTATATCGATGGTATTTTTTGAGGCAACTGCCCTCAAGTTTACTTGCTGGCCTTTTTTTAAGGACCTGTGCAATAAAATTATCTCAAGCTCTTTCTAAGCAATGGAGTATTTTCTCATATACTTTAAAATCTTATAACCAAATCAACTATCTCTCTCACTCATGGGCTCCTGTTCGGAACAAAACTTCTTTAAAATTTGTGTGCAGCCTGTCTCCACTTTATTACCCCTCATCCACAATTCATATGTGTTTCAAACGTACAAAAATGTATAGAGAACAATATATGAAATGCTTATGTATGTAGCATCTATAGTTCGATAACATTCCCTTTCACTCCAGTTTGGTTTTGGTCCTCACTACTCACCTCAAAAGGTTTTTGGCCAATGTCGCCAATAACCTTTCCATTGACAAATTCACTTTTTAGCATCATCTTTGTAGTGACCGTGTAATTAACCAACAAACTAGAACATTTTTTATAATAATGGTGCCAGGACAACACACATAAACCAGAACTGTTCCAAGCAAACCCAGAGATCTGATCATCACCCTATGTTTCTTCCACATGGCTGAGCACTCCCCACTGTCTTCAGGCTCTCCTTTCCCTGCTTTCTCCTGGTTAAATAATATTTGTCAACCTCTAAGTAATGCCTCTCCTCAAAATTAAGTTCCAGGCCCCTTTTTCTTTTCTGTATACCTTGTCTCGGTGGTCTCCTCCATTCCCATTGGAATGGCACTAAATTCCTCCAGCTAAAAACTAGGGAGCCCACCCTGGTTTCTCTCTCTTTCACTTCCCACATTTAATGCATAAGCAATCTGTACCTTCAACATCTACCTCAAATCCATCCAGACCCTTCCAACTCCACAAAAAAATGATGTCTGTCCTCAGAGCTACAACTACCTGCTAACCACTGTCACCCACACTCCCACCTCCACAATCCACTTGTCACAGAGGAGCAGAAGGATCTTTGGAAAACAGAATCACATCACAAGACTTCCCTGCTGAAAATCTTTCATTGCTTTTCCAATGCTCTTAAGGAACAATTTAAAATTCTTAACACAGTTTACAAAAATACTGTGACAGCAAGAAACAGTGTGTGTGTGTGTGTGTGTGTGTGTGTGTGTGTGTGTTGTGTATATGGGGATTTCAGGGAAGACTTCTCTGAAAAAGTTCCATTAAAACAGAAAAGATAGGGGCGCCTGGGTGGCTCAGTCGTTAAGCGTCTGCCTTCGGCTCAGGTCATGATCCCAGGGTCCTGGGATCGAGTCCCACATCGGGCTCCCTCCTTGAGGTGAAGCCTGCTTCTCCCTCTCCCACTCCCGCTGCTGGTGTTCCTGCTCTCGCTATCTCTGTCTCTGTCAAATAAATAAATAAAATCTTTAAAAAAAAAAAAAAAGATATTTAAAAAAAAACAGAAAAGACAGGAAGCCTGCCACGCAAATAGTAGGTGGAGGAGCATTTCATAGACAGGAAGGCACATGAACAAAGTCTTGGGGAAAGAGAAGACAATGTCCACCATGGCTACGGTGCAGCGGCCTGAAATGAACTGCAGAGGTAGTCTGGGCCTTGTAAATTAAAAGAGAAGATGAGGCCTTTAATTAGCATGAAGGCTGCAACAGAAAGAAAACACACACCAAAAACATTTTGGTGGAAGAATCAAAGAGACCCAGTAAACCATATGCAGGAGTTAAAAAAATGAATCAGGGCGCATGCAGATGAAACACTGGATAATTAAGACACAGATGGTGCCAAAGACAGAGAAGGGAAAATGAGGTAAGTTCTGGACCTAAACTCCTGAAACTGTGGAGACAAAATAACCCTGAATATCATTTAGTACCAAACCTCTAGACTACAATGAGGATATCTGAGCACAAGGACAGTGAGTGACCAGCCAACAGTCACTTAGATGGGCCCTACGATCCATGAGGGGTGAAGTGGAAGGCATTATTTAGCTGCAAATGTTCAGAAGGTATTAACTGAAACATGAGAGGAGACTTTCAACTGAAAGTTTGATTTACAGAGAAATGCAAGAATTATTTGCTGACCACCTAATACTCTACAGCATATGTTTATAGGAAGAACAAGAGAGGAAGGCTGGCTATCAGTGTTCACTGGAAAGTAGAGAGTGGCAAACTCTGTCAAAGAGTAGATGATTAAAACTTGACCACATTTTATTTCTTCAGTTAACTTAATTCAGCCTCTATGGCACTAATGAAAGCATGAAAATGAAGAGGTTAATGTTAATACACTTGCTCTTAAGCAAACAGCAAATGGCTTCTCTAATCCTTATCATGGAATCCTGAGCACTAAACCAGAAATGATTATTTTATCTGTACATCATGAAAAGCAACTGAAATGTCCTTCCTTTTAAAGAATGGCTTTAACTGTACGAAGTAAAATATACCATCTTTGTAACAAAAGGAACCCGATCCAATAAAGAAAGGATTTTAAAACCGAAAGGCAACCTCAGAAGATTATCTGAGCCAATTAGCAGGGAATCGTTAATGAAGGATAGCTATGCTACTCGAAACAAATGCTTCTCAGCATTCTTTTCAGTCAGTTATAAAACATTAGGGCTTTTCCTAAATATCACTTGATTTTCAAAACTACTAAAGAGCCCTGGGTTCAGAATCTGGCCCATCTCTTGCCCTCTTTCCTTCAATAAGTTATTTTCTTTTTCTGTAAATCATGCTATTTTTTGAAATGGAGAATATAAAAGGATTGGTACCTACTACCCAAAGAAAATCTGAAAGAATAAGTAAGTTCTCGAGCCCTGGAGAATGAAAAACCAGTGTTATGCCAACTCAAGACCATTGTCATTATATGAGAATTAACTAACATTTTTTTAAAAAGGAACTTCTTGAATGAAGATAAATGGCAATGCCAAAACAAATTTAGAAGGAAAAGTTACAGTGATGGTAGCTGCTGCATATTGAATGTCTATCAATATCACTGTAGGTGCTTTTTTAAGTGGGTGGTTTTATCCAGATTTTTCAGATAAAACTGTGGTTGAAAAGGTAAGTAAGCAACTCAAAACAAATAGTAACAGGAATGAACTTTGAACTTCCAAGCCCATGCCTTCTGCCTCTCTAAAATGTATTTCTTATCATTTGAAATCCATGTATATCCCTTGGTTGCTGAGTTGGCTAACATGTTGGACCAAATGACTTCTGAAAAGGTCTCCTCCAACTGTTAAGATTCTCTCATTTTATGAATTAAGAGAACTGGTTAGACTAAAGCAGAATAAGCAAATACAGATTGATTCAAGATAGGATAATTCAGGAAGAAAAAATATCTCCCCCAAAATATACATTTATATTCTGGTGAATAAAACCACTGGAAGTCCTTAAATGAAAAACTCACCTAATAGCCTATTGTCAATTACTCCTCCTAAATGAAAGGGGAAATAAAGCTTATATTTTGATAGCCCTTGTGAGAATATAATGATTAAAAACTTTTTTTTCAGTGGCAAAAAAAAAGAAACAAAGATTAGTACTTAGAACAAACTAGGCTGATATGGGAAAACCAGCTTCAGCACATGACAACAAAGATAAAATGAACAGACGATGGGAAAATGTAGGTTCTTAAGCCTATCGTGCAGCAGCATGCTCACAGCCCTGGGCTCTAACTCCAGCCCTTATTGTGTAAAATGATGTATGTTCCTTCTCAATAAAATCAGTTGAGCTATGGTTCTCCATTACATGCAGGTGACATATGATAGCGTGCTAACTGATAAACTGAATTTCTTATGCCTATGTAAGCTGAGAACCCAAGATGTTCTCAGTCAAGAAAAGAATCCTCTGAAAGTGTTTTAATCTAGTACCTAATAGAAAACAAATATGGCAAGTCAAACATTTTAATAAAAGTTGACCTGTACCTGTAAACTAATCTCTCCTTCTTCACATTCTTTCTTATATTTCCTTGGGAGTGTCTCTACTTCACGGATGGCATCTAGAGTGACTTGCTGAGGAAGCACTTCAAAGAGAGATGTTAAATACATAATTATGGATTTCTTGTCCGGAAGCTGAACAGCAACATCTAAAAGTGGAAGAAAATAAGAAGCAGCTTAAATTAGATGTCCAAAATATGTGAACTGCTCAATATTAGCTATAAAATAACTACCCTTAGTACCCATAAACAATACTAGTATATAATCTTTGTAATACCAGAGCTCAGTAAATTTCTAGTTCATATAATAAGAGATGAGACAAAAGAAGATTATTTATTTTGTTCAGTAACCTATTTCTTAAAAATCTTCCCTAAAAGCTTCCCCAAAATGTTCAGATAAGCTACCATTTAAGATGACACATACTTTATTTATAATATGAAAATAAGTTCAGAATTCAACTCTGCAATATCTGTAACTAAAGTTTTCACATTATATGCAAGAAGACCACATAAAAATGCATTTTAATTAAATAAGCCAAATATTAAATTGTTTCTCTAATAATTATATTTTCCTAAACCTTTAAATCTTATGGGAGTATCAAGTAACTATTCTCCAATGACGTAATTAAATTTCCCCCAGAAGTATCCTACAAATTAAGTACAATAGTACTAATAACTAGTCTGCAATGAAATGGCTTGCACCATACTTCAAAAGAAAAAACAATCCAGAATTCTCATAACTCTTTCTAAAAAGAAGAAAAAAAAACACTATTTTTCAAGTATTCAAAACTGTATAGCAAAATCAAGGTTGAAATTAAACACTGAACAATACCTTCAGGATCTAACAGCTTTTCAATTCCCAAATAAGTTTGAGCTTTGCCGAAGGCATGTTCAAGTCTCTCAATTGGGGACATTTTGACAACTCTATCCCAGCTGAAGAGATCAGGTCTGAAATTACAATGCAAATAAAACTGAATGAAAATGAAATATATGGACAAAAGTAGTCACTGCTATAATTTAATACATTCCAGTTTTAGATTATTTTACTTGTGAGTTTAAATGAAGAAATTTTTATCTTTTATATCCCAAAGGCTTGTCAAATATCTATTTTAAAGTAATTTACAATATGAAAACAATAGGTAAAATATTCTAAGTTTTTTGTGTTGGTTAAATATGCCTATTAAAATCTGTGAAGTAACCACGAAAAGCTTAGAAATGGTATATAATATTTCCCAAATAGTAAAGGAAAAAAAGGGAAGAAGAACCTATTCATATAAGATAACAAAGAAAAAAAATACAGAAAAGTTAAAAGAAATGAGAAGCTTAGAACAAGAGGTAAAAATGAACCTAAATACATCAATTATCACAATCAATGTTAATGGGCTAAATTCTCCAACTGAAAGACCAAGATTAGCAGAATAGAAAATCCAGCTTTGATCTGTTCATGGGATACTACTGCAACAAAACCCTGAGAGAACTTTCCATCAATCATCTCCCTCCATACTACTATTGTCTAGTATTTCCTTTCTATCTCGATTTTCTTTTAATCCAGCAAGTTGGACATTATTGTTGCTCTGACTTACCCAAAAGTTGATAATTTTCTTTATACTCTATCTGTTCTTGCATCTTAGACCCACTTAATTTCTGGGCTTTGCCTGCCGCACTCCCATACCCAGTTCCTCCTCTGACTTCGTCTCCTATTACTGCTCCTATTCATGCCACTGCACCCACTGACTTCCCAAATGCCAGGTCCCTCCTCCCCTCTTGCCCAATATATTTTCCTTCAGCATGTTTACCATTTCTAAATGCTATATGACCTACATTATCATTTTTTAAATTGTCTTTCTCCTTCTATTTGAAAGGACCAGGATTTTTGCTTGTTTTGTTCTCTGCTATACACCCTATACCCAGCATGTAGAAGGCAGTCCACACATACTTGCTAAATCAATTAAGTAATAGTTGGGGGAAAGCTTTGGCTAAAATTCAAGTTCTTTGATAACATCTCTAAACCACCTAGGAAGAAAGGCCAATCCTCTTTAAACTGATAAAGAAGAGGGGCGCCTGGGTGGCTCAGTCGTTAAGCGTCTGCCTTCGGCTCAGGTCATGATCTCAGGGTCCTGGGATCGAGCCCCGCATCAGGCTCCCTGCTCCGTGGGAAGCCTGCTTCTCCCTCTCCCACTCCCCCTGCTTGTGTTCCTGCTCTCACTATGTCTCTCTCTGTCAAATAAATAAATAAAATCTTTAAAAAAAAAAAAAAAACTGATAAAGAAGAAGTGAAAGACACTTGGGTGTGGGAGTTCTTTAGCCAGATAAAAAGTATATGAAAAGAGCTACAGCAGATATCAGTCTTGTGGTAAAATACTGAAACTACTCCCTTCATTATGTAGAACAAAACATTCTGCTCACTATCACTAATTCAAATCAATATTGTATTGAAGGACAAGGCACAAATGAAGGGGGAGGAGAAGAGGAGAGAAGAAACTACTATGATTCATGGATAGTCAAAAAAAATAAAAAAACCCTACAGAAACAGGCAATTACAGAAATATTTTTGTAAAATTTGTAAAAATTTAACAAGTTTCCAGATCTAAGATGTAGAAAAGTCAACTGCATTTTTTACATATAAGCAAAAAACATACAGAAAACAGAACTTGAAACAATAAATAATTTACAATAGCAATAAAACATACAATAAATTTTGCCTTTCACATTTAAATCCCTGATGCACCTGGAGTTACTTTTGGGTATGGTGAGGTAAAGATCCAATTTATTTATTCACATATGGATAACCAGTTGTCCCATACTATCCATTCATCTGCTTATCCACATCAGCTCAGGTGTATAGCAGGATGGAGCTATTTCTGAGTTCTTTATTCTGTTAGGCTGAATTATATGAAACTGCCATTCTTATATGTCAAAACAGCCAAATCTTTGCAATTTCACATTTTTCAGACCATTATTATATTCACGTATTTATTTATAGTACTATACATATAGTCTTAATAAATATAGCTTCATAACTAATTTTACTTCTGTTTGGGAGGTACTTCAACCTAGTTCTTCAGGAGTGTATTGGCTCTCCTTGGGCCTTTAGTCTTTTATATAATTACACATTTTATGAAAAAAATCAATGGTCTTTATTTAATTGAGATTACACTGAATTTATAGAGGTTTCCTTTCAGTAGGAGAATGAAAACTTAACACAGTTCATCGTATATATTACTGGTTAGTGCTGAACGAGTGGGACTGAACTATGTGAATTATTTTACATTTTTTAAACTTATAAATATGTAGAAGAAACCAAGGACATTGCACGGTGGTGTTTGAGTCCTACGGAAATGAAGACTAATGTTTCTTAATGCTTAAGCACGTGCAGAGAGGAGAGTGGTGGTAGTGGGGAAGGGGCTTTAGGGAGGGATAGTCAGGGAGAGAGAGCGAGGAGATACAAATCTGTAAGGCCCACATCTAAGCAGGGTCAAATCTCACCTGTGTTGATGGAGCACAGCATTAAAGGCAAGTCCATCTGTCCAGCTGGTGGTGAAGTTGAGGACGTTGACCTGGCTGTATGGCCTAGTAGACTGGCGCACCCAGCTCAGTAGGATCTTCTCACTGTTTGTCTGTTGAAGGTCTGACATGACATCTTTCATGACGTCTTTTACCTGTTCAAAAAAACCACACTGCCTATAACTTAAAATAGTTGCTAGAATCAAGTCCTTGAATAAGGAATATTACACTAATTAACCATCACGGATCAGGTAATTGGTATTCATTTTTTCTCAAAATTTTCCCTTAAACACTGGAAAGATAAATGTGTTTTTAACAGTAATCATTTTACGGTACTAGGATTTAGAAGTAATTTTTTACCTCACCTTTAGGCATTATGGTATTTTCTACATCTTAGCAATATTTATATTAGGTTTGGTGACAGTGAACATTGCTTTCACAGCCACAAAGTAATATTTTAATACTATACACTTAGCAAACACCTTTTTATGAGAGGAAAACAATTCTTATTTTCTACAAAAATGAGAAAGGAAGAACTTTTGACTAACCACAAAATCAAAGAATGAAGTACATTTCATGATGGTAATAACAATTATAATATAGAACTATTATTTTATATTATTCTAAAGTAGTACATATATTATAAGGAAGTGTTCAAAGAATGATGTGGACATATGAAAAGGACACAAGAGCCAACTAAAGGGGGCTTGCTTGCAAAATAAATAGTGATAGTGAAAGATAACTGACCTATCAAATAAGTAAAAATCCATGAGTGAACAGTGATATATAAATGTATGGATGGATGAATAGGTAGACAGATAAGAGACAAGGGAAAGCTCTTCCTTACAATTAGAAAGACAACAAATAAATGTAGAAGGAACAATGAAATTGGAAAATCACTTTTTGCCAAGCATCACAATAATTATCAGGTAAGAACTATGAATGGATCTTAAAACTGATGGAAACGTAGTTTGATAAGTAGCTGAATATTTACAGTCTCAAAGTATAACTCTACAAGCTACTCTTTAATAACAAAGGGCAGTCTCATTACAGGGGAGACACCTTAACCCAAACAATGAAAGTTTATACTGCCAGAAAAAAACCTAACAGAAAGCACGTGCTTCCCGATATGGTATACTAAGAACTCAACGTCACTTCTGTGCCCCTGTGGCAAAAAATGAATAACCTGAATCTAATCATGAGAAAATACTAGCCAAACCCACATGGAGGGACATTCTACAAAGTAACTGTCCAGTATTTTTCAAAAAGGTTAATATCGTGAAATACAAAGGGCTCAAAAAACTAGAGAGGACTAAAGAGATGTGACAAATAAATGTAATGCATGATTTTGTATTTTCTTTTTCTTTTATAAAGGCTATTACTGGGGCAATTGACAAAATCTCCATAAGATATATAGATTACTTAACTGTATTGTTTTTATGTTATCTTCCTGATTTTAATAATTATATATTATTTTAGTGTATAATTATCATATGTTTAACAATATTAGCACCAGCACTATATTATATATTGTACATGTATATTATGATATTAACATTATATTCTAGTTATACGAGAATTCCTTGCTTTTAGGAAAAAGGCTTGTTTTTACAAAATACACACTGAATTATTTAGGCAAAGAGAAAGAAAGAGAGAAAACAGAGAAATACAGATAATAACTGTCAGCATTTGGGTAATCTGAGTAAAAGGTATCCAGGAATTCTTTAAGCTATTTTTCCAACTTTTTTCATAAATCTGAAATTATGTCAACTTTTTAAATTTAATATTTTTTTTAAAAGATACCTTTTTTTTCTATGCCAGGAGAATACAGCTGTTTGTCAGACTCTTTCATTCCAAATTACTATGAGTTGAATTATGTCCCCCCAAAATTCTTGAAGTCCTAACTGCCACTACCAGCTAATGTGACTGTATTTGGAAATAGGATTTCTAATGAAGGTAAAATGAGATCATAGGCGTGGGCTCTAACCCATTATGACCAGAAGAAGAGGAGATCAGGACAAAGACACACACACAGAGGGAATACCATGAGGACATAGGAAGAAGGCAGCGATCCACAAGCCAAGGAGAGAGGCCTCAAAAGAAACCAATCTTGCTAACACATTGATCTCAGATTTCTAGCCTCCAGAACGCTGAGAAAATAAATTTCTCTTGTTGGAGCCACACGGGTTGTGGTACTTGGGATGGCAGCCCTAAGAAACTAACACACAAATGATACATTTTCAATTTCTATTAAGAAGTGATTGAAAATTTCCCCACCTGCCAGTGCAAAATGATGCTCCAAAGTAATCCCAAAGTCAGTTTGTGATTTCCATCTACAATGTCAGTTCCTCCTATATTCACTAAATCTACCTATTAAGAAAAAAACAAAAACAAACAAACAAAACTCTCTTATGACAATTTTGCCACAGAAGCCAAGACTTTTGTTTTAGCACCTTTGGACAGCAATATACGTGAATGATAAGAAATTTCAGAATCAGGTATACCTAAATCTCAAAAATGTATTATTTATACAATATATCAATAAAGTAATCAGAAAAAGCATGACTATTCCCTCACTCACAGAAAAGGTTCAATACTTATTATAAGAAAAATGTTTCCAAAAATCAGTTGATGACAATGCACAGAGCAGGTGGCTGATCTGACAATAAATAATCCTGATGGCACCAAAAAACCCCAAAAGTCACACCGCAAACTTACGTTGTCCTGATGTAAAACCTGCAGCACTCTGTTGACATTGTTTAAAGCATGGACCCTTGTGGAACCACGTTCCTTTGGCTAGAAAACAAAACGTGACATTGAATGAGACAGACTCTCCACAGTGCCAACGACACTGAGGTATATAGAGAAGCTCAGCATGCAGAACCCCTCTCTGCCAGGAGCTCGGGCTGGCTTCTCAGGCCACCATGGAGACTAGTGGTGACAGAATGCAAATTACCCCACGAACATCTTGAGATAGTAGGTCCCTTATTTGCCTGAACACTAGCATTCAAAAAATACAAAGCCTGTCTGATCCTACCCCCATAGATTATGACTTAATGAGTCCGGGGTGTAGCAGGGGTTTGGAATTTCTAAAGGATTTCCCTGGTGATTCGAATGTGCAGGTCTGTTTGGTAACCAATGCTCCCGGGACAAAGTTTCTTTTATCTAAACAGGGCTGGACACAGGAAGACTGAGAAGTCATGTCACCTTCATACCGCACCAGTGTGCACAGAGCAGGGAGGATTCAGAGGCACTATCCCAGGTTCCAGGTAGCATTACAAGGGCCCACTGGGAAGGCAGGAATAGCCATCTGGGGCAAGGTGATCTGGGAGGCTTCTTTCTGCCTCACTGACCAGGGAGTCTTATCTGAGAGAGGGATCAGCCTCTCCAACAGGTACCTTACCCACCATCTGGAAGGCAAAAGGCAGAGTATAACACCTCACACTTTGGCAAGAAAGGAATTCATCTTCAGGAGTGCATTTCCCTCTACCTTTTATAGTAATTCGACCTCTAGTGTTAAAGTTTGTACCCATAAAATGCATCCTCTTCATTAGCAGAGTTATTTCTGTGTGAGTATAACACGTAAAGTAATAGAGTTGGGTTTGATGAAGAAACAAAGATAATACTGAAAAACTGAGTAAAATTAAATGCCATCGCTTTTAGCAACTCTTTAAGTTTATTAAATAACATTTAAATGTGTTTTCTACAACTGACATCTTCTAAAAAACAAAAAATGTGTTTTCTTTTTTTTTCTAAAGATTTTATTTATCTGACAGAGAGAGACAGTGAGAGAGGGAACACAAGCAGGGGGAGTGGGAGAGGGAGAAGCAGGCTTCCCGCGGAGCAGGAAGCTTGATGCGATGTGGGGCTCGATCCCAGGACTTGGGACCATGACCTGAGCCGAAGGCAGATGCTTAACGACTGAGCCACCCAGGCGCCCCCAAAAAATGTGTTTTCTACTATTCAAAACATTATGCCCTCTTTCCATAGCCATTCTTCTTTTGTAATTCTGTCCTGGGCTCCCTGAGAGTAATCAATATAATATATAATCTTATCTCTGATAAAAATAGAGCCCTCAGGCGCCTGGGTGGCTCAGTTGGTTAAGCGACTGCCTTCGGCTCAGGTCATGATCCTGGAGTCCCGGGATCGAGTCCCACATCGGGCCCCCTGCTCGGCAGGGAGTCTGCTTCTCCCTCTGACCCTCCTCCCTCACATGCTCTCTATCTCTCATTCTCTCTCTCTCAAATAAATAAATAAAATCTTAAAAAAAAAAAAAAAATAGAGCCCTCAATAAAGCCTCAATAATGCTGTCTCAAAGATTCATTGAACCACCTTTTTTTTAAATGTTCCTATTTGGGCCTTGACATTGTAAGTACCCCCACAGGGTCTTCAAGTCAATAATGATGAGAGACACTCTGTTAGTCTGGTTCTCAAAGATGACTCCTCTCACCAGTGATGTTCCTGTGAGGCCTTCCAGCAGATCCAGGAGCTTCCTTCCATCTTTGAGGTCTGTGAACATATCATTGATGGGTGGTTTTCCACTCTATAAAGGAAAAAGTAAATTATCAGTTTCTTTAGCAGCAGAAATTCCATACATATGTGGCAAATAAATGAGCGGTTTCATTTTTTTCCAATTAAAAGTGTGGATGGGCAGCAGACTATTCAGCTTTGCCTTGTATGGAAAGAAACATAATTACAGAGAACTCTGAAATCCATAACAAATGCTTTAAGCTGAACAATATGAACTGCATCGTTTCTTTTATAAGTTGCATTATTTCTTACAAAATAAAGCTATGGGTAATGTCCATATGTCTTGACTATGGTATATATCCCTGAGAAGGAATGATAAAGAGATGCACTGAAAAATACAGGAACAGGTCATTTTGTCCACAATTTCAGTTCTCTGGTGCTGCATCCATACTTCTAGCTATAATTTCTAAACAATTATGACACTTGGGCTCTGTGTGTAAGTAAGGTACCAATCCAGTATTTCAAATGCCAAAGCTTATAGAATTCCTACACTTGCATCCCTAATTGATAAGTAGCTCCAACTTCCACCAACCAACAAACTCTTGTGTCTGATGCCAGAAAATCCCACCCATCGACAGGCAGATCCTGTATGATCTGATGGCTATATGCAATAGGAAGATTACTACACAGAAAACCAGGAAGCCTCAGTTTTAATTCCAGTTTGACCATTAACAAACTGGTAAGCCTAAATCAACCTCTTAACCTTCCTCTGCATCACAGGCTAAAAATCCAATAAATAATATTATGTGAAAATGTCTAGACAACTATAAAGCACAATGTAATAAGTGTGACATCATTATGTTGTATCAAATTATTCCCCTTTAATCTTTTTCACTTTTTGCTTTTAAAAAACATTAACAGGGGCACCTGGGTGGCTCAGTCGGTTAAGTGTTTGACTCTTGGCTCAGGTCATGATCTCAGGGTCATGAGATCATGAGATGGAGGCTGCCATCAGGCTCTGCGCTCAGGGGAGTCTGCTTGAGAGAAAATTCTCTCACTCTCCCTCTGCCCGCCACCCCCCACAAGCTCACACGCATGTGCGTGAACTCTCGCTCTCTCAAATAAATAGATAAATCTTTAAAGAAAACATACATAAAGTCATATGAAGCACAATTTTACTCTGAGCTTGAAATGGAGGGGAAAGGGAGCCATTCTGAGGTTTCCTAAAACTCAGCATCTTCCATTTTTCCTCCTCTCCTGATATTTACATTTTTTTTAAAGATTTTATTTATTTATTTGAGAGAGAGAATGAGATAGAGAGAGCATGAGAGTGGGGAGGGTCAGAGGGAGAAGCAGACTCCCTGCCGAGCAGGGAGCCCGATATGGGACTCGATCCCGGGACTCCAGGATCATGACCTGAGCTGAAGGCAGTCGCTTAACCAACTGAGCCACCCAGGCGCCCCGATATTTACATTTTTAATTAAATATAAAGTATTGTCAACTAATGATGACTAGCATGGCTTTTGGATAGTTCACATACTCCAAATGAGGGGAAGTATGGTCAAGTCTTTGCCACAGAATCAGTAAAAAAAAAATAATAATAATAATATACTATGGCTTATTTGTGTCTGAAACAAAGCAGCTTTTCTTGTTCCAGCTGCCATTCTGGTGAGCAGTGCTGGTGTCAGGGATACGGGGATTATCTCCATCAATCACAATAACAAACTGATTTGCGTGATGTGTGAGATATGGCCCAAGGGTCCAGAGGGGATACTCCGGGAGGTAGAGCAAGGGGGAGCTCCTTGTGTTAAAGACTTCCTACCTATCACCTGTAAAAGCAAAGGGAAGAAGTGGCCCTCATCATCTGCTACCTCTTACCTTCCTCCTCTCTAAGCCCACCAAAGTACACTTCAGAGAACTAGCCACCAAATAACCGGATTCCTTTTCAGGGAGAGATGAGTGACTCTGCTCTGAGCATGAAGGGTCAGGAATATAGGTAAAGCTCATGGGAGAAACAGAGGGATATCGAGGGACGCCTGGGTGGCTCAGTGGGTTAAGCGTCTGCCTTCAGCTCAGGTCATGATCCCAGGGTCCTGGGATGGAGCCCTGCACTGGGCTCCCTGCTCAGTGGGAGAGTCTGCTTCTCCCTCTCCCTCTGCCCCTAACCCCCACACCCCTCGTGCTCTCGCTCTCTCTCACTCTCTCAAATAAAATCTTTTATAAACAATAAATTAAATAAATAAATAAATAAATAACAAAGAGGGATACCTAG